AAAAAGATTCGCATTTAGAGAGCTTGGTATTCCTCTTTAAACCGCCGATGTAATTGTTCGTATATTCTCTGAATATCCGATCACATTATCAATTTTGCTTTGCTACCCTCAACGGTCGACCTAGTCCGAGAGCTTGTGAAGAATTTTGGATTTACTAATTTCAGTCAATAAATGTGTTTTGCATAATATTCTCTTTCTGTTAGACAAAAACTAATATTATATATTTTAAAAAATATTCCGCATGTTTTTTAAACTATAATGATCTTTAATTTTAAGCCTTTTCAAAACCAAAATGAAACACATTTTGTACGATTTTCAAATGGCTCTGATTTTGCAAATCGTCTTAAAGATTGTTAATGTTTTTATTCCACTAAGGACTAATTATCCAATCGTCAGATAAAAGATATTCATCAAATAAATTATAACTGACTGAATACAAAGGTTAATAAATTGAACTATTTTATTCATTCAACTGAAATTTTTAATTTGTTTATTATGTATTTTATCCCTTGAATAACTTTATCTGATAGTTGAAAATCGACCCTAAAAGATATTGTAAATTTCTTATTTCTTATTACTTTCTTTTCAATTTAGGTCTTAGCGCCAAAAGAGGTTTTAGATGAATGGCAACAGCGCCCGACAAAACTTGTTTGCCGTTTCATAAAAAGGTACGTTTTGAAATTTTATGAAATTTTAAACATAAAAAGACAAATAAATTATTATTTCAGTAACAAAGTATTTTGTAAGTAGCAAAATTCACATTTATTAACATACCCACACAATTTGTTCTATCTATAACCATGATAAAAGAAGAAAATAAACCTAAACCATAGATTATACAGCGTATGATATACGAGAAAATAAACGTTTGACGATGGATTAACGAGTCAAGTTGTTGCCTAGTATTAAGTAGATCTTTTTTTTATAGAACTACGTGACAAACAGGCAAGCAGTCCACCTGGTGCTAATTGGATGCTGTACCAATAAATACCTACATTTTTCCTCAATTGAAAATCAAAATGCGAATGCGTTGTCACCCAGTAAAAAGGTTCTACGGTTTTCTACACTCACCATACGAACGTAGGATATACAGCATTATTACGCTGCTATTTTGCGCTGGTATTCTGTGAGAGCATGGGTCTACCCCAGTCCAGTCGACCCATTCGTGCTACTACCATAATACCGCTGCAGTCTGGCTCCACCACGTAAAAATATTATATATGGTATGTGTATATAAATAAAACTGGTATGTGTGGTATGTATAGCTGTAACGTCGCTCTACCACGTAATTATCATCGAAACAAATGCCAAACATGCTCTCTTTTGGCTATTTGTTAATAATAAAAGATATCCTATATCTTTAAAGGCTTTATATTGCTAATAATATTAGGAATAAGTATTTCATGGCGTACTGAAAACCGGAGCTATGAGCGCAAGTTCCCATTATAAGCTCGTATTTTACGTATCGTTATAGTAAATTGTCCTGATACATTTAATTAGTACCTTCCTTTTGTTGCTGTATAAGTTGTACAATGTTATGTATGTAATATATACTTTTATTTTATATTTTAGATACTTACAAATGAAGGGGCGGCTGTCGGTGGACGGGCATGGCTCCATCGCAGTCAAAAGTCCGCGTCGGTTCAAACTGGTGCAGCAGGAATCAGAAAATTACGACTAAATTCACTGCCTAGTTATATACTTCGGATTCATTACAACGGTCTATGTTAGCAGTCATCGAAACCAAGCATTATGTTGTGTGTGTCATTAGATTAGTTTTTTTTGCTGTTTTTATAGTACATATAATCAAAAGAGATTCGTTTTTTGATTTGGGAAAGGCTTTAATTTATACAAGTACTCATTAATAACCATTAGTTGCGGTACAACTTAATCTCATTTCATGTTATCCGTTTAATGAAAAAGTTATGAAAGTAAGGAAAATATTGTTATTCAATGTTTACAATGTTTGATATATCTTAAGGTACCAAAAATTACTGGTATTATTATTATACATTTATTACTATTAAATGAGACAAGTTGTTCGATTTCAATCAGCATCAACGAAGTAGGTTTTAACAATGTTTTGTTTTTTATTTCTGAAAGTACAGTTTTTTGTTAAATTAAATTATAAACATTACTCGTATATTTGAAACGCTTTGAGATTTTAAGTAATGTTAAAAATTATAATTAACTATTGAATATCAAATATTTTAAAACAGTTATTGTGCCCTTCTAGATTCATTTCATTCTGAACTCTCTACTTAACTGGTTTTATATGTTTAGTACGCTTAATAATTATTGGGTACAGTATGTTTATCACGCCTATTTACCTAAGCTATTGAAATATACCAACATTATTTCTAACTATCTATATAATATCATCTATGTAAACTTGCTCTTAACTATTCTATTTAATATATAATTATAAACCTAGAGTTATATTTAGGATAAATAGTCACATTTAATTAATCTACCTACTGAACTCACATATCGTCGTAATACTATATTTTTATCAATTTATTTAACTATTTTCCATATAATTTTATATCAAGCTTTTCGTTACAAAATATTATCATTATATACATTCTGAACGTGTGTTTGGCTGCACCGAATTTGATGAATTTTATTTGTGTGTGTTTGAGTAAGTCCCCGGATGGTTTAGGCCCGATAGGTGGCGCTACTGTCGAAATCCAGAACTCACCCGTGCGAAGTCGAGCAGCCTGATCGCTAATAACTTAGAAAAAGGAATTTGTTTAATAATTTGTTAGCCTTTTTATTTTTACAGTAAGACTTAGTTAAAAATAGTGATTTATATACCTATAGCTTTTTCTATCGTTAAATATTTTATATTAAAATCAAACAGTGCAAACGAAATATACTAACTACTTATATATATTTATCAAAAAGAACCTATATAAATCACTTATAAGTTTAGTATTAATAAAATATTATTAAAATAACAATTTTATTTTTTTAAATTTCATTTTAGCATTTTTATCCATAAAAATATAATGGTTGACATTAAAAATAATCTTAAAATAAAGAATAGTTCACGTCTTGGGACTGACTGGCGCCTTGCATTGAGTAAATTGTTACCTAATTTAAAATAAACGTTGAAGAAAAGAACCGTAAGACTCCGCTCATATTAGGTATGTCCAACGTTTATAAATCCGATTTCAATGTTTGTTAAACTACTGTTTGAATAGTGTAAAATATATTTTAATTATTATAATGATCATGTTATGTTACCATTACTGCAAATATTTAGAGCTGTTAAAAATGGACCACGACAAACAGACGTGTTCTTATCGATCAACAATATATTATATTTATTAATAAATAGATAATAATTAATAACCCTTTCATGAACAAGAGAAAGTTTGTTCATATATAGTGCAAGTAAACAACATAAACATTCATCTATTGAACTTCTGCGTAGAAAAGGAGTTTTATCGTTGGGTTTTTTTTATAATATAAGCGAGGTAGGTATATTAGATTTTGCTTGCACTTATCGTGAAGCTCTTAGAAGACGTTGAACCGTCATATTATTGGTTACATATATAGACTTGGAATATACTGTACGCCAGTATATTTTAAGTCTATGGTTACATATATGTGTTAAAGAAAACCAATCAAAAATTTGTCGCCTGATTAAAACAAGTGCTTCCACGTCAAAATAATTGTTATCTAAGAGTACTGCGTAGAGAAGTCGGCAAGTGTAGTATGCATGTTTATTTGTATAGGAAAAATAATTCGCAACCAATTTATTCGAAGAAGTAGTTCTTGGAGACATGATACGCCGACTGCGTATAGTTTTAGTCTTATAAATTATTTATGTACTTATTACACAAAAAATTGTTTTGTGTAATAAGTACTTCTGATTAAGATTACCTGTGTTGGTTGCATTTTGCATCAATATTTATAACAAATTTAGATTCAATGACATTCACTTTCAAATTAAATATATTTGAGCGTATAAATAAATAGTAAATAAGCGTATTGCGTGGAAAATTTTAATAAAAATAGTTACAAAGATCTAGTATTTTCTACGAAAAATGTAACGTGTGAAAATAGATATAAAGTATTATTTATACTTACTTTTTATATTAATATATTAATTTTTTTGTATTATTGTTGGGTAAACATTTTTTTGTATTAACATTTCGCCCTATTAAAATATTTTTTGACGGTGAAGTATATTATACGTTTTTTACATTGAGGTTTAAATTACATAGTACCTATATTTATTTAACATAATCACTGCAACAAATATATTGATTGTACAAAACAGAAAATATTAGAAAACTTATCGATATTATGATTATTGTAAGCGTTGTAACAGCTTAAATGATGTTAAGTATTGAATAAATACAGTTTGTTCCTCTTAATAACCTCTATTCATTCACACAATTTTTATTTATTCATAAACATACCTTATATCTAATATGTAAGTAAAATATATGCAATAAAAAAACATTTTAGTTTGCAATATATGCAAGTAAAAAACATTTTAGTTTGCAAGCCTTTAATTATCGTATTCTAGATTTATGTACATATTAGCTATCTACGGCACAAAGTCTTATAAATTAAAAGAAAAAAGGGAGAATTAAATAAAATTATGTAAGCAAAGTTATAAAAAAAGATGGCACAAAGTATGGATTTTTCATATACTAAGTTTTTTTTAACCAGGTTTTTGTAAGACCAGCATGGTGTTTAAATAATGTTTAAAATCTCTATTAGCCTTCCTATATGTTTGATACTTGAAAAAGTCAAAGGAAATGAAGGATCCCTATCCTTCATAATAAAAGTAAAAATCACAAAAATGCAGAAGCATTTTTTGATATTATAGAAATCTATTGTCTTAGGGTACCGAATTATTCAGTCTTTTTTTAATATTTACATAAAATTCTTTCTAAGTTTTATTATGTGCCATTTGCCTTAATTTTATTGAGTACTTCTTACAAAAATAAATGAGCATTTTATAATCATACGCGTATCACCTATTTAAGCTGCAGGAACTTCATAAGTGCGTCTTGTATAAGACGGGGGCTGGCTTCACTGTCCGCTGTGTATCTAACGCCTCTAAGCGCTCCATCCTCATTTCTAACTACACCATACTCTCCGACAATAAATCCGTCTGGAGTCCTTTCTTCCACGCGGTATTTTTTGTACTGTCTGCCTTCAACTACGTAGCCCACTTTGCAGTTTTCCTGTTTGCAGTTTTCGTTGTTTGGCTTCTGAACGCCATGACTACGGCCTTCAGTCATAACACTAATTTTTTCATCTACTTCGTAATTTTTTTCAGGTTGTTGTTCTATGTACGCCTGAGTAATACCTTTATAATCTATAGTAGTAATTGGTGTTGTGCTTATATCTGCTTCATTTGTCGAACTAGTTACAGGTGTAGTTTGTGAACGTGGTCGCCAAGGGGTATGGTTCGGTAGAGGTTCCGGTGTCAGATGCAATGAGGCTGGTTGACTATAAAATTTAGCTGGTTCACTGTATACTTTAGCAGGTTCACTGTATACTTTAGCAGGTTTACTGTATACTTTAGCAGGTTCACTGTATACTTTAGCAGGTTCACTGTATACTTTAGCTGGTTCGCTGTAGAATTTAGCTGGTTCACTGTAAAATTTAGCCGGCTCACTATACACCTGAGCTGGTTCACTATACACCTTTAAATGGGCATTATGAAAAGATTTATTTTGACCAAAACTGTTATTTTGGTGCTCGTAAGTAGAAAAATGCTTGGGAATGTCATGGACAATATTAAAACTGACTGTGGTAACTCGTGTATTTCTATCTCTTTCGAACAATGATTCATGCGTTAAAGTTTGTATATATTTTTTTGCCGATAAAGATGAAATAGATCTCCCCATTGGAACATTTTCAACTGTTTCATCAGTTTCACTTGCTGTAGCTTCTACATCAGTTACTGATTTATCATAAAATTCTGTTGTATATTCTTCGGAAATGCTGTAATTAAATTGTTTAATATCAGATTCAAAAGGATTCACCTGTTCAAAATTATTTAGGCCTCTTGTTTCTTTCCGTGCCTGTAGTTGTTTGATAAAGTCTATATTGGCGCCGGCATATTTTATCATTACGTCAGTTACATTTTCGTCTTCAATGTCTTCGATTGTAGTTGGATTTGTAGAATTTGTGATTTGTGTATTAAGAGTCGGTGGTATTGTGATGTTGGTATGTGGCAGTTGTTTATTTTCAGGTAGTATATTTGTTTTTCCTTTGCCTCTACCTACTGCAACAGACGACGTTATTCTTACGGATATAACTTGTTCATTTTGAATTTCGGGCGTGGCACCGCGTTTTGTTTCCTTATAATCATCTTTGTTCTCTTTGTGGTGTACTTGGATTGGCTTGGTGTGCATTACACCAAAAGGCAAGAACTGTAAAAGAAAAATGAAAGTTAGATTTTTTATAAAAAAATAGTATCTAATACAGCGATCTCCAATTCGCTGCCAAGCATGTTGTATTACTCCAAATCATTCCTACAAAAGGATAGGCCTATGTTGAATGTAAATGAACTGATAATGAAATAGAAGAAATAAAGAATCAAACACTTATTCTTAAGTGCTAGTTTCTTTTATTTATTTCAATTGATACAGCTTTAAGAAATTAACTTTATTGATTAGATCGTTGATTGATCCAATGACATCTCTTAAAGACAGTTTACTTTTTTGTAGTGCACCCGAAACTTTTATCACTTAACATAAGTACTTTTTTAAATGGAATAAATATCAAGTTTCATATTATAACGTAGCATTTGACTTGAAAGGAGGAAGTTTGTACATCTTGGCATATCGAGGATCATCAACGTGGTGATCAATTATATACGTGGAAAATCGATTCCAACAGTGTTAGTAAAGTTAATTGAACAAAAATAACTGAATTTAAGGCAAGTGACCATCTTCGATATGCTTAATTACGAGATTAATATAATAATTACCTAGCTACTAGCTAAGCAAGTTTGTTATAAACTTATCAAAATATATTTGTAATTAATAGCGTCCTTGTAACAAATCGTTTTAACTTTAGGACACCTAATACTTAATTTTAATTTAAAAAACCCACTAAGAATGTTATATCAAGTTCATTAAAGATAAACTGCTGATAATATGTGTTCAAGGGGCGACGGAGCGTTAATAAACGGAGCGGAAACGGTGGCGCATTGTCGGCTATGAGTGACCGCGCTCGCGGCCTTGCCGAGCTAGCCACGTTTAGCTCTTTTCTTGCATAATATTCGGTGATGTATCAAGTAACTAGACTTAGGTTAACATTATCATCATTACAACCCATTACAAATCCACTGCTGAACATAGGAACATATGATCTCCTTTAAGGAATGCCACGGTCCTGAGCTACCTGCATCTTAAAATGTCGTCACTCCGTCTAGGGTGCGCCCGAAATTAAGATATTGCATATTTTTTAAGATACTGATCAACAAGCTGAATTGAACTGTTTGATAATAAAGAAGGATACTCCCCCGCCCCCTTCTGTACCGTGAGTGAAATGCCAGGCAAAGCTTATAGATTGCGAGATCACCATTTATTGCAAGACCGATGTAAAATATCGGCAACGACGATCAAGGTAAAAGCTGAGAGGTATCTGATATCTACTGTAGGGTACGTTCTCTTTGAAAAAGTAGTTTCATGACAAGTAGTGAACTGATACGGCCTGATGACCAAGAACAAGTTCAACAAGTAGATATGGTATTTTGTTATTTTGATATGCATCATACTAAGTAAGTAAGTATGCATAAATCAACAAATATACAAGAGAAACAAACATATTTTGGATCATTTTTTGACATAGAACATTTGATATCTATAATTTCATTGTCCAGTTATTATGTCATCGCCAAAGGCTTCTATCAGCAGAATCAGCTCAACGCAGTCATTTATATTTACGCAATAAAACAATAGGACGGACATGTACATACAATATACTATATGTAAAGTATGTTTGGATTCAATAAATAGTACCCGGATGACCGAGCTTTGCTCGGTTTTTTTTTTGGAAAATACATTTAGATGAAAATTACATATTGATGAATAATATTTTTTGATCTTATTGACATAATAAAAAAAACTGAACTGGTTATTTGAATAAAAAGTCATGAGTGCAATTAGTTTTATAAAAATTTTAGTATTTTTAAAAATACAAAAAAGGGGCTCGAAATAATAGATTTTCTCACAAAAGATGGGAACTTGATAAAAAAGGAAAAAAAATCGGATCGAAGACAGGACGCGAACCAAGGCATCACGATAGCTCGAATATCCACTTGAGCTATTACGATCATTAGCACAGTATCAAAATTTACCTTCTTATATTGTAGCAGTTTTTCATTGCCTGAAAACACAGACAAAATTACATTTTTTTAAAAATAAACCCTAGCTAGATCGATTTATTACCCCCGAAACTCCCCGGACACTAAATTTTATGAAAATCGTTGCAGCCCTTTCCGAGATTCCAATTATATATATATATACAAGAATTGCTCGTTTAAAGGTATAGGATTATTATTATACTATCGTTTCGTTAGTTTCTTCAGTTTTACAGGAGGTAGAGCCACGCTAAAGCTATACCTATATAATGGTTGCAGCACAAATGGGTCGGCTCGACTGGGGAAGGACCACGCTCCCGCAGAATACCAGCGTAAAATAGCAGCTTAATACTGCTGTGTTTCGTATGGTGAGTGTAGATAACCCTTCTTACTGGAAACGAGGCATTTCATCTTAGTCCTCAGGGGTGACAATACATCTGCATTTTGATTCTTAATCGTGGATAAATGTAGATGCCTATTGGCCACAGCATCCACTTACCATCAGGTGGACTGATTGCTCGTTTGTCGCCCTTTATTCTATAAACAAAAACAATTTTATAAATATATATATATATATATATATATATATATATATATATATATATATATGTATATAAATATTTATATATATATATATATATATATATATATATATGTCCTATACTAAGTGTAAGATTTAATAAAGAAAAATCTTTAATAGATAAAGATTTTGCGGATTAAAACTTATAATCAGTGTCATGAGATAGGTAAATCTTTTTTTAATAAAAAGAAAATACGATTTAGTTGCTGTTAGACTGTGGTTGTTGGATAAGTGGCAAATGTATTCGAAATATAATTCGAATGTAAAAAATGAACCTGCTTGGAATTTGGGCGCAAAAAGTAGGCACCTCTACTTAATAATAGTCTACAGTGTAGGACTGAATGTCGTTAGTAGGCACTCGCGTATTTGTGAGTACCTATAGATAGTAGTTTAAATCAATAGCTTAAATAAGGAACTGGATCAACAAAAGCAAAAACATTTAATATAAATAAAGATAAAAAATGCCGTTGAATAAATTATTTTGACATTTACTTCCTTGCTATCTTTTCTAGCTCAGTTACATATAGAGTAAAAGGTGAGAAGTATTCATCAGCATAAAGGAAGTTCGGACGATGTTAAAGCTATAATTTAGAATAAATTTGTGAAAACCCGATAGTGTAAATAGTAGAAAAAATTTAGAGTATTAATATTATTCTTGATAAAAATGTCACGGGACAGGGTTATATCCATGTAAACTTGTGAAAATAACCAGAAAGTGTTTTTTATAGAATAAGGGCGACAAATGAGAACTCAGTTCACTTGATGGAAATGGATGCTGTGGCCCGAAGACATTCAAAACCTTTTATCGAGAGGACTTCATATACATTAATCTTTTGATGTTCACATGTTTAAATTTTATATTTGTATTATAATATTTTGAAAATTAAAAAAAAATCCTTAAAAATGATTTGAAAACTATCTATTCTATATATAGGCTTTTATTTCTTTAATTTATCTTTCACACTCTTTTTTTAACATGTCATCAAAACCTTAATATATTATATATGATAAAACTAAAACACAGGAGCTCGTGACGTAAATTGTATAATTACATGAAGAAGTAAGTGCCTAGGCGTCTGTAAGTCTTTCATGTATTGTTACTCTTCACGAATGAATAATGTTTTTAATTAACCTCCCAATTAATTTTTTCGTCTACTGAATGCGTGCATTCTAATATTACAATTGAGCCTCTAATTACTAAATTGTAGTTGTTAAAAGCAATTCAAAATAACATTGACTTACCGAAAAAAAAAATGAAAGTTTTTATTGACTGCGTTACCTAAGAATTATCTAGAAAAATTGTATAGGATCTGCATTTGAATCTTATTTAAGGGGAAATATAACCTCAAATGGCTTAGCAAGATCCTTATCTGCCTTATCTGATCCTGCAGCATTAATTTTGAAATAAATGTATGGTAAGTTTAGGGATAATGTTAGGATTATTATTTTAACTTTAACTACCGTGTTTTATTTTCATTATCATTACTTTTGGACCACCCCTCGTATGTTAGACGAAAACATGACTCCGTAAAATTTTCTTTCTTTTGTTTCCTGCCGTCCGGTTCCAAGCTTCAAGACGCCGATAGTTTATGTACCTAGGTAATTTCTTTTTACAGTGAAAATAATGGTAGGTAATTAAAAAAAATAAAAAACATAAGCCCTGCTTTATAGTTAGTTCAGTAAGTATGCAAAGTTTCATGATCCTATTTAAATAATTTTATGAATAACTGCGGTTTATTGTTCAGTTTGGAGGTAACTTTAGATTTTTGTCTATCGAGAAAATTTTACGGAATCATGTTTTCATCCAACATAGTACTTAATATGAATCCTCAACTTTACCATATATTTATTTCAAAATTAATGCTGCAATATTTTCGGTATAACGGAGGATCTTGCTAAGCCATTTGATGTTATATTTGAGGTTATATGGTTATGTTATAACCATATAGAAACGAGGGTTATTTATTTAACCATGTAAATCCCTACATGGTATAAAACAAAGCATCTTCCCGCCTTCTGTACGCTTAGATCTTTTACGAAACGGATTTTGATGCGGTTTTCATTAATATAACAGAATGATTCAAGAGGAAGTTCTATAATATGCATAATACATGCACACGTGCGCAGCCGGGGCCGGTCGCTAGAAGTCCATAATTCACAAATCAAAGAGCTTACATTCCTATTGTAACCTTTCTTTGTAAAAGTAACATTATCAGTGCGAAGTGATCACGTAGGTGTACCCAATACCCATTGAGCCTTGAGGTCTGCCCCACCGCGCCACGCCACGCCACGCCGCGCCGTGACAGTGAAAACAGCAAGGCCGAGTGCTTTACGATTGCGCTCCCATTCGTTGTGACTACGAACTATTCTCTGGTACTTTGTTAACTTACATCACAATGCTATCCGCAAAATCTGACGGTGATGAAAGTGGCTAGTCAATTTTTCTGGTCAAAATTGTATACTGTAAAATTAAGATCTTTATT